CAGAAATTTTGCACAGCTTTCTCAGTATGATCCTAGGCAATGAAAATCAAAGTTATGAAGACTTTTGCAAAACTACGATTGAAGGATAATTATCATTATCAGCGAAGATATTTTACGAATTGCAAATCATTTTGTGAATAATCATTTTGAACGATTCCCGTAAACGATCCAAAATGACTACTGCATCATTTTCAGGCGTTTATTAGAAGTAAGGTGGTTGGTTAGTGGCCGAGTGTGGGGTCTGCATATGCTCGGCGATATTTCATAATTTGTACATTTTTTCCATTTTCACGCTATGGTTGAACGGTTGACATTGACTGACTACTTCCTGCATTAGTGCTTAAAATTAGTCTAAACGTTTGTTCTACTGAAGATGATCAATGTATGCTGTACAATACTTTTTCTGGAGTGTTTGTACAAATGAAGGAAGGGCTCCTTATTTCTTATCGCCTAAAGAACCAAGTAGGTGATTGTGAGCAGCAATCTACAAATAGGCATGAATGCGTAAATTCAGCCAGATATTTCTTTCATCGGATTGTTTTATGGCTTGCGGTTTGCTGTTATGTTAGGTAAAGTCAGATGGAAAGTCAAAGCATTAGTCCGGGAACTGTTATGGTTGATGGGATCTAGTTAGCTGGTGGTTTGCGTTCTCTTGAAACTAATTTTGGTTTACTGCGTTTTGACCCTAAACTGCAACTGGATTCATTGATTTCTCAGTTCTCCCAAGTGCTGCCTCAGTTATCCTGTCGAGTCATACATGTTGCACTTTAGCATATTTCCCACCCTAAGTTAGTGCTTTTCATTGGATTGTTCAGAACTAATAGATTTTTGCGTTGACAGATGCTCGCTTATCTCTGATGATTATATGTGTATCACATTTTGACTAATTTTTTACTATCAACTTTGTTTTTAATAGGTTAGGTAAAGTCGGATTCACTTCTGCAAAGCATTGCTCTTGCATCGCTNTATCAACTTTGTTTTTAATAGGTTAGGTAAAGTCGGATTCACTTCTGCAAAGCATTGCTCTTGCATCGCTTGATTCAATTGCGCAACGAACATGTCACTCACTCCTTGGTGCATGACTCCAATGGATAGAATGTTCCGCGAGATGGAACGTTCATTCGACGCTTTTCGTCCATACTGGACTGATCAACCAATGATGCGTCAAGCGAATTTGGAGAATGCGGTCGGAAATGTTCCTTTTTCTATTATTCTTTACCAAGTTACTGCGGTAACCAGTCCAGATTTTGATTTCGTCAATGCCTAAGGATACTGTAAAGTTGCTGAAGGAGTGAATAACGATACATCGCGTTGTTATTGTTGGCTGTATACGTTCAATGCGTTCAGTTAAGATAATCCATTTCGGGTGCTGGTTGCACTCTAAGATAAGTGAAACTTTAGTTAATGAATAAATATTGTTTAGATTGTTAACGATAGGGACAAGTTCTCGATTGAAATGGACGTGTCGCAGTTCGCACCTGAAGAGTTGAAGGTGGAGGTTCGAGATAAGGACTTGATTGTTGAGGGTCATCATGAGGAACGCAGCGATGAGCACGGCTCGATCAAACGTCATTTCGTTCGTAAATTCACTCTGCCCGATAGTGTTGACGTGCAAGCGATCAACTCACGTCTCAGTGATACTGGCGTTCTTACGGTGATCGCACCCAAAATCAGCACAGCTCTACCACCAACACGCAGCATCCCAATTGAACATGCACCGAGAGCATCGATCCAGAGACGCTAGATTCCGTCCAGTCATCATCGGCGATCATTCGAATCTCATTCGATTGCATTTTGTATTTATTCTACATCGTTCTTATGTCTATTGTACTGCAACAGCTACAGTGCATCTTGTAATCTTCTGTTAATCGTAAAACCTTGTAATATTGATATGCTTTATTTCAATGAACATTCTTGTCTTGATGTTCTGTTCGGTGTTCTCACAAGTATGAATCCTACAAAGTGGACACTTTCAACTAACTTGTCGTTGATCACTATGTAGTGAGCATTAAATTTTCAAACAATTCGCGATTAACATCGCCTACAAACATTTTGAGATGAGAAAACGAACCCGACAAATTTGAGTTAATGATTTTTTAAACGTGGCGGAATTAGGATGAATTGAATATTCGTGAAGAGCGAAAATTTGCTTATAGAAAGCATTGTTGGTCTCTGCCACTCACAATACCCATTCTGAACTCGCATTTGACTTTAATTCAGTGAAAAAATTGTTTTTCGTTGGGAATCCTTTCAAGTGGTACGCAAGCATTTCTTTCAAACCACCACCAATAAATGACAGCACCGTTTCATTCAAAATCAATTGCGTCAGCCAAAAACACTGCTTTTGCAGGCGATTAAAAAATCGTCATTCGTTATTTTCTCAAAAGAACTCGATTGAATGGTCAGAATGAGGCCATTTTCTTGAAATTGATAATATGATCATAATTAGTGAGATGATCATAACAATAGTAACGATGCGTGGTAAATGCCGTGAACACTGTAATGATAAGGTATTGGTGATGAAAAGCAATGGTATTGTAATGATGTGACGAAGTTACTACTACCATCTTACTTTCACCGTCATACAATTGCAAATAATTAACGATTTGACATACCTGTTGGCTATTCTTGTTTCCCTCATTACCACTATTCGAACATTTTTTTCAGGAACTGATATACCTAAACTATTGACTACTGAAGTGTACATTCGCTGATATGCTATCAATTTTTTGTGATAATTAGTAAAGTTTCATTCGTTCCACTGAAATCAATAGCGTTTATAGCTAAATGTATTCGATGACTGCAGTGACACTGTTTTAGATGTTTGGTGTGCGAAATTTATCGGAATTTAGCGAACCATCTTATAGTTTCTCGCATACGCTCATAGTCTCATTCAGAACCTCGAAATGTTCTCGATGCGTTTAGTTATTCTATTCAATGAATATGAAGAAGAACAACAACTGTATTTAATGGGTTAACTGAGGTGATTGTTAAATGAGTTTTGAACGTGAATGTGATGAAATGAGAAAATGACATACTTAATGTTGATCCTCCGCGCAAATTCCATCGATTTTATTTTTTCAGTGAAAATTTCAACAGTTTCAAAAACAACATATGAAAACGAACCGAAGCAGTTTTTAAAAACATCGATACGCTAAATAACAACAACAACAACAACGTGACAGTATATGTACATCATTGAAAACAATAGCATTTATAGGTAAATCACTAAGACTTCAACAAACAATAGCAAAACCGTGGCACATCCATCGTCATAATCAGTTATCTTCGATTCGCCCAATGGAAATATCCCATGAAGTTTTGCATTGGAAACGAAACATTCGAAGAGCCATAAATATTTCTGATACGATATACAAGTGGTTAAAAACGATAACATCTGGTGACTGTTTCGGTGGCATTTCTACTCTTGGCTGAACAAATCATTCTTAATGATCTCTTCGAATGGAAAATTCGGGAGTCAATCAAACTCAAATTTGATCTTATCATTTTTCCAAATAATAAAAAATCAGTCGATAAACGATGATAACTTCAAATTTCTGACAATCCCGATCAAATCTGCTACTATAATTTAAGATTTTCAGCAGGATGCATGCACGCTTCAATTGTTAATTAATTTCTCCCGAAGAGCATTCTGTGCTTTCGTCCATTTTTGCGGATCCTCGCGAAATCCGTTCATATCAAGCCTTTCCATGATTATACGACGTAACGGTATATTACTCTGAAATCAATCAGCCATTAGTCACAAGGTACCATTTATTTTAAATTAAAAATTACCAAAGTAACTTCTCATTCTCGAATATTAACTTTAACAAAATTCAATAATNGTTGAAAACGCACACGTATGGAAATATTAGGCAATTCTGGATCAGTCTCTTGTGATGAAAACCTTTATCGGGTAGTTAATTAGTTAATGACTGATTACTTGCTTATGATGATCAAATGCCATAAGCGAATCATGTGAGGGTTCGATGAGTTTCCTTTAAATGATCAATTGGATTCAACAAAATTGTCAGTCATTCACCCATACTCACGATAAGATTTCACGGTGTCATAACGTAACGTCACCAAACGAATATGAAAGCATGACAAATCACCGTCAAATTAACTCACTATTAACAAATTTGCCAACTGCAATTTATTTGTGTCATCGATGTGTTTCGATTGAAGGAAAGCTTGAATAACACGGCTGCCTTTTGGATTATAAGTCATTTGGAGGATTGTTTCATCAGATAACGAAAGAAATGAAAAGAGAAGTGTTTTGTTATGCTTAAGGGTGATCAGGTTTTGTAGCATTAGTGATCCATGAAGAGTACCGTTTTCCACATTGAATTTCACCTTTCCAGTCTCATCTGAAACCATCACTGACTGCATCATGGAGAACGATAATTTGTTCGCTAGTGCTGCCCAATGAGGGTACGAGTGATTCAATAGTAACGATATAATGGCGATAAATGTGATGATTTTGGTAATATTCTAATATTGATGACAACGATAAGCAATAAATGAATTGATATTGTTAAGTATAGTGAGATAGAAGAGCTCAAATTGTTGCTGTTATCACCTTCACTCATTTCAGCATTATTCAGCGTCAAAATATTGGGTAAAAAGGCATTTCGGGTTGATTTTTGGGCACTGCCGAATTGCGATCGGAGATTCTTCAGCAGAGCAGCTTGATACTCTGGATATCGTGACGATGCCTTGATCAGTCCTTTCAGCACACTCCACTTCTCGCCTTCACATATTTGATCCAGATTATTCACAAGTTCGTCGAATACATCAATTATCTGAAGAATTTTAGATACTCGAATAACCTCTACACTATTTTATGACAGTGTCAATCAGCAACTCTTAAATGAGAGCAAACCCAACGAATCGCACTTCACAATGAGCATTGCAAAAAGCTGAAGGAGAATCGTAACTATCAAGGTGAACTTAATGTAACATTCACGAACAAATAAGTCACATGAACTCACAAGTTCTTCTGATTTCGCACTTGAAATGAACGCTCCAACCACAAAATTTGCAAACGAATGCAATGAAAGTTCCAAAAGTTTCCCATTCAACACGGATGAATAAAGCGATTGTCTTGCATCTTCGCTTGTCTGAATTCATGAAATTCACATTTCAATTTCGTATACGATTGATTCGACAGAACGGCGGTTGTTTGGATTTGATAAGATTTTGCGTTCATTTACAACTTCTATTTCTATGATCGTATCCATTCTTCCGTTGAAAATTGAAGAAGGGTGATAAAGACGAAAAATCAAATGACCCGTTTCACAAGCACTTCCCACACTCGAGAACTTTGCTTGCCCTGCCACTGCAAAAGTACACTGCCTTCCGAATCGCCGAGACATTTCAAGATCATTTCGGTTGTTTTCGATGTTCTCGCAAACCAATCATATTCGATCAATTCCTGCATTAACAATGAAACCGCTTCTCGATTTATACAATCTACAAATGTACCTCTTTAGATTAACTCATCAATTCTGACCAAACATCAGATGACTTCTTCTCTGAAGCTATTAGGAAATAATGAGAAGTAAAAGCTGAACAACAAATTTCACTTTTTTGTATGGAAGAAACAATAAACACTCCATACGTAGGGCAGGTTTTAGCAGCACACTTCAAAGTCTGTATATATTCAAGCAATTTCAATCGAGAATATGACAGAATCCAACAGCAATTTTAAGAATTTCTTTCAACACTAACAGCCAACCTTTCATTAAATTATAATCCAGTGCTAAATTGATAATTTTCGTGAAGATAGTTTTAAGGCCAACAGTCGAATTGAACTGATTGAACTGCTTCCTCAATGCTTTCTCATCGTGTAACCATTCACTTGGAAGAATGCTCGACATTTCATCCAAATTCGATGAGTGTTTCAAATCCGGATTTCTCACAAGAGCAGTTGTTTTCGAATTGCTGAGATCCAGCTTTGGTAGACCGATTAGGTGGCGAGTGAATGAACGAATGAAATGACTTGCATTCTGATTCACTACCAGTTCACTCCAACAATCCACAATTAAGTCACTCAACTGATCAATTATCTAAAACATCTCCAATTGGAAGGCATCTACCCAAATACATTCTAAGCCGTGCATCTCATCTCGCATTTTCTGCACATTCACTTTCGATTGGTCATTCGATACGTTATTGTTACTATTGACAAATATATTCACGCTATAAAACCCATAATATTAAAACGTAATATAATCAAATCAGTCAACTGAATACATCTCAAAACCAAACCTGAATATCTGAAGAAGTTGATAGAGCGAATAGTAGAGTTTCAAGGCATCTGCATGCACAACCTGAGCAAAGAATTTCCAATTGTGTGACTTTCTTGATTTTCATAAATGACTCGAGCCATTTGCACGCACCCTTTCTCGAGTCTTTGAAGATCTTTTCAATCAATCTACTACTCGACTCATACGTACACAATTCTATTTCCATGCCTTCGCATTCCTCCAAACATTTCTCACGTATTATATCACCTGAAAGAAAAAAAAAGATAATACTTG